GTCAGGGAGTGGGGAGAGGACTAAGGGGGATATTTTTTATTAGCTATAAATGATATTTACAAAAAGTGATAAATTTCTGAAGGGGGGGGGGATTTCCCCTTGCCCCCCCCCCTGGCTACGCCTATGAGTGATGCTAAGATTAAAATTTCCAGGTTAACAAGTTAGCATTTTTTAAATTTACCTTGATTAGTTGGAGTTCCTGAATTGATTATATCAAGTGATGCTAAGATTAAAATTTCCAGGTTAACAAGATAGCATTTTTTAAATTTACCTTGATTAGTTGGAGTTCCTGAATGGATTATATCAAGTGATGCTAAGATTAAAATTTCCAGGTTAACAAGATAGCATATTTTAAATTTACCTTGATTAGTTGGAGTTCCTGAATGGATTATCAATTGATGCTAAGATTAAAATTTCCAGGTTAACAAGATAGCATATTTTAAAGGATTATCAATTGATGCTAAGAAGAAAATTTCCAGGTTAACAAGATAGCATATTAGTAATATATTCTAAGGTTAACAAGATAGCATAATAGTAATATATTCTATAATTTACCTGGGTTGGTTATGGTCTCAAATGATGCTGGAGAAAATATTATTGAGCAATCAGCTTGTTAAATTTATCATACAAATTTTAAGCTTAAGCAAAATTTAGCAAAAAGTCACGCGACAAAACATCAAAACACAAAAAAAAAGTATATCATGCGGCACGATCAATGTCATTGGGCACGATACGATAATTTTTGAATAACAAAAAAAAATTTAAGATCCTCTAGGAAGGAAATTTTTAAAATTAAACAATTTCACTTAATTTTTTTTGAATTTTAGAAGTGTCTATCAAAAATGAAATCTAATAACGATGTTTAAATAATATTTGTTTATGATAATATTTATTAAAAATACTTTGGTGAGAAAATACTTTAGGAACATAAACATATGCTCTCTAATCATCGTATTTTTTAAAGTGATTGGTACAAATCCTTACCAGATAATTTGAGAAATACCCCCCCCCCCCCCCCCCCCACCCATCAAGATATTTGAAAGCAGGATTGATAGCCCATTGATGTAAAAGATAATATAATTGGCTGATATCATGATCATTTTTAATTGCATTGATTTCACACATATATTTCGAAATGACATACCTTTTTAAGGAAATTCAAATTGAAAATTTTTTTTCGCTTATCCAATTTAAATATTCCAAAACAAATCTTGATTTATCACTAAATATAACATTTACAACATCTTTCTTTGCCCTATCCCTAATTGTAATTTTGTTTTTAGAGTAGTGATAGCAGAATCTTTTTCTTTGACAATATAGGAATTAAAAATAAATCTTAATAGATTTGGATATCATGTACCTTAGAGAGCAAACCGTAGCTTTCAATCTTTTATTGCAGGATTGAATATTTCATTTATGGTTATTTGCGGATATGTCTAAACCTATGAAAGAAAGAAAAAAAGAAAGAAAGAATCTTCCCTTTTTGTACATAGAATTGTTTTCTTCAGGATTTTGCTATAATATCACCAACGGCAGCCATTAATGTACAATTGAAAATTTTCCATAGACCTTTTAGCATTTATTATTTGCAAGACTTTATCATAATTCTATCTAAATATTTTAAAAAAATAATAACTAATAGTAAATGGGGATATTAACGACAATAAAAAATCCTTCGTTTTTCATAATACGAAACTCCGTTTTAAATATGAAAATGGAACATAAAACCCGATTCGTGATTATCGCTTTTAGGATTCGGGATCATATATAGCATAAAAAAATATATCAAGATTCTGAGAAATGTATTTTATTCAAATATATTCATTAATTTTCTTTACTTTTTATCTATAAAATAATAATTTTACTTCTGCTAACAGTGGTCTAAAATCAATCACCGTTAGACTTGTTTTAAGGGCCTGAAGTTATAATGTCAACTGATTCAGATTATGACATCGATTCAAATCCTAGCCAACGTAGCATATATATCTCCTCAATTATATATCTAATATATATAATCTAATCTCCATAATCAAAACACGATCGTTTTCGTATCTCCCTAATGTATTTAAAATGTAAGGAGACTCTATAATGTAATGTTAATTTTTTGCTATCTACGAGAGTCGAACACAAACCTCCTGTTTCAAAGGCGTATGCTTTACGCATGCACCTACTTGAATATAATTAAATTAAAAATATTAATTATATATATGATTTAATAGCTGATATTTTTATATTACCATAACTAGCTGACGGTGTTGAAGGGTATTTAGTTTGTGTGTATGGTACTAAATATATTTTATTAATAAATTTTATTAATAAATTTTATAAAAATATTAAAATTAAGGATAAAAAGAGGTAAAATTGTTGCAATACAGTGAGCATTAAGAGTATTAGAAATATCAAAATTTAAATTTGTGATGGTAATCATATTGGATAACATTAAAAATAGAGATGCTTTTTTTGAATTTTAAATATGGGTTAGACATTGGCTTGATATTTTTTTTGCAGACATAGCTAGCATGTAACTTTCATATTCTGATTGTATTTTTAAATGAATTATGACTTTTACATATTTTATTTTTAAATACCAAAATTATTATCGTCTTTGGCGGGCTTGAGAAAATTTTCTCAACATGATTATGAGCATGAACCTGTTGGGAATTTTTTTTATATTATATATGCATAATATTTATATGGTTCTCAGGTAAAAGCTAATTTAAATATATTTTTATTCAAAAAATAGTATTCACTATTAGTCCTGATGAGTTGGTCTTGGTCTGAAGTAGGATTGAGCGGGATTAAAAAGAATAAAAAATGAATAGTTTTTAGAGATTTACTTATCTCCAGGCTTGAGAAAAAAAATTCAAAATTTTTACGCGTTGGCCAGGTTCGAGAAAAATTTTTTAAAATTATTATGGATGAGGCTGGATTTGGAAAATATTTTTATGAATTATTTTGGACTGGGTTTAGGTAAAATTTTTCAAAATTATTATCAGCTTGGACGCTTGGGAATTCTATTATCAACTATGGATCAGACATTGACCTAAAACAAATTTTTTTGCAAGCCTGGGGATCAAAGATATTATTTTCAAATATACAACTATCATAAAAGTAGAGAGAAAAACTAAATAATTACCCCTCAACCCCGTCATTCTTGAAGGTTTTTAGCTAGTAAATATATATTTATTTTAATAATCATAATATTATTTTTAAAGCATATGATTTTTAAAAAATAATAGTGTATTCTTACTAGTGATCTGCATCAGGCCTAATTTCTCAAGCCGGTTCCATGTCACTTCAGCAAAACTTTTATCGCGAAACCTCATTAGCGAATACTTTTCCGCGAAAACAATATAGCGAAACAAATATCGCAAATTTTTTATAGCGAAACTCTTATCACGAGACCTTTAAAGCTACATGAGAGCGAAATTTTTATCGCGAATCAATAATCGCAAAATTTTTATAGCGAAGTCAATATCGCGAAACATAAATCGCGAAGACAATAGAGCGAAAACTATTTCGCGAAATATAACGCGGCCTATTATTATTTTTTTATTTTTATTAAAATAATTTATTTTATTTATATTTAATGTTAATATTTTATTTATCAACAAATAAACATATTATGATATATTTTTTATTTATGTTATTATATTATGAAATGAAAAATGGATTTCTTTTATTTGATATTTTTTTTTAATAAAAAAAATGATATGCTACTATTGTAATATTATTTTTGTTACAATTTATTAGTGATTTTCACGACCAAAATTTTAAACAAAAAATATTTTCTGAAGTTCAAAAAGATTTTTAAACATATTTTGATAAAAATTTTAAATCTTCTTCATAAAATTCTTTTGTGAATTTTATTATAAATAAACAATCTTTTAGGTGAAATCTTTTATAGTTTTTTTTATCATTTTTGTAAAATTATCTATTTTTTAAGTATATTAAAGAGGTGGATTTTCTAAATAATATTTTTTTTAAATATTTTTATTTAACTTATTTATGTTATTTTATATGATCTTTTTAAGGAAAATAATTTAATCTGACAATTTTTATATTCGTTATTGAAGATGTTCCTTAAAAAAATGACAATTATCATAATCGGTATTTTTAAACATTAGATTTTTTACGGTAATATATATTTTTAACATGTTAAATTAAATTTTTAATTAAGATGCACCATATAAAATCATAATCGTTATTTTTAAAGTTTTTTTGACGTAAATCGGTTAAAATAAGTATTGTTAACATGTATTAATAAAACTTCAGTGAAGTTGTACCCTAGATAAATGACAATTGTCAAAATTCTTATTTTTAAAGTTTTTTTGATGCAAATGGGTAAAAATATAGATTGTAAACTTGTTAAATTTCATGAAGATGTACCACAGAAAAGTGACAGTTGTGTAATAATCGTTATTTTTAAACATTTTTTGACGTATGTTAAAATAAGCATTGATAACATGTTTAAATAAAACTTCAGTGAAGATGTTCCAAAGATAAGTGACAATTGTCATAATCATTTTTAAAGTATTTTAATTTTTTTTGACGCATAAATTGCTAACATGTTTAAATAAAATTTCAGTGAAGATGTACCATAGATAAGTGACAATTGTCATAATCGTTGTTTCTAAAGTTTTTTGAAATTTTTTTATACAAAAGGGTAAAAATATATTGTAAAAATGTCAAATTAAAACTTCATGAAGATGTACCATATAAAAGTGACAATTGTCATAATCGTTATTTTAAAAGTTTTTAAATTTTTTTGAAGCGGGCTAAAATATAAATTGCTAACATGTTAAAATAATCTTTGAAGATGTCTAGATAAGTGACAATAGTCATCATCGTTATTTTTAAAGTTCTTAAATTGTTTGAAGCAATTGGACAAAAATATAAATTGTTAACATGTTAAAATAAAAATTCAGTCGTAACAAAAAACAAATCGATATTTTCATTCTCATAATCGTGCTCCTTTTATCCTAATGCAAGTCGTGTTTTTGTATAATATATTTTTTTAAATCGATCAAAATCAATATATTTTAAAGAATATCTAATAAGTAATTTACACAATTATAAATAGTATTCTTGCGATTATTTTTTAATCAAATAAAATAAGAGAATAAAGTTTTCCATTAAAGACGATAGTAATAAAATTTGACAAAGTAAGCTGTGGCGTTCCAATTGAAGATGACGGAAAATATGTATAAGCATATAAGTAGAGTAAATGGAGTCAATATGATTCGAGAATTTTTGATATATGGTAAAGCTTTTAGTTATTTTTTTTTTTAAAAAAATAAAAAATATATAACTAAATACAGTTCTAATGTACTTCGTTTGCAAAATAACAAAATAAAATCATAGAAAAATATTAAATTATTATAACAATATCTAAATGTATTATTCAAAATTAAAAATAAACAAAGTTTTAATATGTTACTTTCTTTCAAGTGAAGAATGAAGGGGGGGGGGTACTATTCGATTCGTTTTTGAAAAGGTGTAATATGAAGTAATCAAGCCTTATTATTTTTTACAGACAAATTTGAAGGTTTATAATCTAGACAGATGCTTGCCATTTACTTTTTAAATATCTCTTTATTCGTTGAAAACAAGAAACGATTTGACAAAAACTTCTTAATCGCTGAGAAAATATATGCAAATATATTTTATAAGTAAACAGCGGAGATACACTAACACCAATTTTGATACTGGATACCAAGTTTATTTTTAAAATAAATTTGAAGAAAAAGATGAGATTTTTCCCAATCTTAAAATTTCCACAATGCTAATGAAACTTGCCCTGAGGCTGCATTCATAGTGGGATCCGATCTGCATGATTTAACAGCTCAACGAGTTTAGTGGGATCCGATCTGGCAAGATTTAACAGCCCAACGAGTTTTAAAATATGTTTATGAGATCAATTTTTCTTTGATTAATATTAATTTTATCTTTAATTCCATGACAAATGGACCAGTGATTCGGTGGACTATTTTAAAAATGGATAAACTGGGTATGAAGGTTAAATAAATTGTATATCTTATGCAAATCCAAATTTTAATGCCTTCAAAGTTCGATGAAAACCTTTTCCTTTTTTTAACGAATCTCAGAATACTCTAAAAAATTTTGGTCTAAAGTAACAAATAATATATCATTTTGTAGCCCTTAAGAAAATGCAAAATAATTTTTAAAATATCTTGTATTTACAGTAAAACAAAAAAATATTATTTTGAAAAGTACCCCATTTAAAACGATGAAACTCATGAAATATGCTTATTGCCAATATATTTACATATTTAAGTAAAAATAAGAATTTTTAAATTTTATTTAGTTTTTTTGTAATCTTAGGAATAAAAAAATCAATTACAAAGGGCTTTTAAACGATGAAATCCATCATATATGTTTATTATCAATATATTAATATACATGAGAAAAAATTAAATGCAGAAAATAAGAATTTAAATTTTATTTAGTTTTTATAATTTTAGGAATAAAAAAATCAATTATAGAGGGCACTATCGATAAAAATAATTATAATATATTTTCTTTTTATTAGTGTATAAAAAAAGTATTTTCAAAAAATTTCTAGTGTATTTAATAATTTTATAGAAATATCAATGGTTATTTATAATATAAAATGCATATTTTTATTATAAAATAAAATATAACTTTTAAAAACGCCTACAATGGATTTTTATATTCCTAAAATTATAAAAACTAAATAAAATTTAAATTCTTATTTTCACTTAAATATTTATGGTAAACATATTTAATGAGTTTCATCGTTTCATATTACCCTTTTAAAAATAATTTTGTTTGTTTTACCGGAATTGCGACACTGAAGATATTTTTCAAATAATTTTTACATTTTCTGAAGGCGAATTTTAAAGGGCTATAAAATGATATATAATTTGTTACTTAAGTTCAACCAAATATATTTTGAGTAATTTGATATTTGTTTAAAATTTTGACTTATATAAAATATACAATCTATTTACCTTCATGTCAAGATTCATCTATTTAAAAAATAGTCGTTTGGAAATCACGTTATTTTTGTAGATTTGTCACGGAATTACCCATTTATTGATTTGAAATAATAAAAAATTGATCTCAAAAACAGATTTTAAAATCGATCAGCTGTTAAATGCCGCGGGATCGGATTCATTACGAATGCAGCCTAATTAGAGCAAGTTTAAGAATTTTTTAAGATTACGTTTTACCAACATTTTTTTATAATTATACTATATTTTAACCCCTTTATCATGGCGACACTTTATCACTCAGTCATTTAATAACGCGACAGTTTATCTGTTTTAAAACTGAATTCAATATATTTGAAAAGTTATATTTCGATAATATCTGATTTTTTGACTTTTCCGTTTAAATTTTGATATTTATAAAAAAAAATTTTGAATTTTACATTTTGTCACTCAAACTTTAAGTAACTTTAGCATTGAAGCATCGTTTTCCCTATAAACTTTAGGGAAAGATCCAATTACATATCCTTGACAGATTTATGCCTCTAAAATATTTTTAATTTTTTGTATTTTTTTTATATTTATATTTAATAGATTTCTAATCATATCTTTCTTAATTTTTCATCATAGTTTTTTTATATATAGTTATTTTTAAATAATTATACTTTTTATATATATTTAATTTTAATTTTTTTGAAAAAGAGTTAAATAAGTCAATAAAATCGCGTGATAAAGTGTCAAGTCATCAGATGACTTAATGAAAAGTGTCGCTACGCTATTCTATTTACATAAAAAAAATCTGAAAAATTTATAAATTATTATATTTTAGTCAATATAAGGTTATTACCATCATAATGAAAATAATAGAAATTCAATTTTTAAAATGGCTCTCGTAAAAATTACAAAAAGTGTAAATGGAATAATCTAATTCTGGGAGGACGATGAACAAATGAATCACGCCTATCTTACTTTTAAACGCTCTCTTTATGGTTTCTAATATGTTTGAAAATTTGTGGATTTAATGGATCAATTATTTTTTTTTAAAAAAATAAAAGTTCACTATTATTTTGGGTATTGTTTAAAATTGGAAATACCGTGAATAATTGGTATTATGGCATCATAAGAAATTTTATGGATTTTGACAACTATCCATGCCATTGTTACCGACACTCATGAAAGCTATACAATAATCAGCAGGTGGCATTAAACAAAACATAAGTCTAGGTATATCAATTATAACAATTAATGTTTAGAAGAAAATTCCATAAATTAAGCCACCATACTTTTATATTAATACCATTTTAGTCAAAATTATAAGTTAGACTTGAAAAAAATTGTTTACAAATTATTTAATCGTGTCAACTATGAAAGAAAGCTACGATCGTAGTGTAAGAATTATAAAAAAAGGTCATGAAAATTCACAAGAGTATTAAGAAATTATATATTAATATAGTAATTCTTTTATAGATGGCATCCTATTTCCGAATAGGGAATAAGATTATAAAGATTGAGATCAGAGAAGTAGATGGATCGTTGGAATCAAGAAGATGGGTAGAAGCTGCACGAATGGATACGGGGAATTGCTCCAGGAAAGACCCAAGATACAACATTATGAAGTACTGAGCAAATTTGGGTCAAGAAAGGCAGTGTTGGTCCTGTGGGAGGATGCATAAGTTGAGGTATTGTCCTACGGAGGTTTTAAAATTAAATAATAACGTGTTTTTATCGGTGCCGGAAGATGAAGAAGAGGCTAAAAACTCTGTAGGAAAAAATATTAAAGGGGAGCGATGTTGTATTATTTTACTTGGTTTTTTTTTAAATTTGTATATTTAAATAGTTATTATACTTGAATTATTAAATTTGTACATTATTATATGGTAATTTTTAAATTTATTATTTAGTCTTTTTATATTAGTATATTTAATTTTTTTTATATATTTGAGTGTTTAATGTTAAATTATTATAAAATTGTTAAGAAGTTATGAGAATTTTTTTAAATTTTTGAATATTAATTCTTATAATATTAAATAATATTAAAGAAATTATAAAATTATTGCGTTTTGGAAATCATTAATAAAGTTGACAATTTTTACGTTTTTAAAGATCTTAATAAATTTTGAAAGTATTAATAAAGTTAACAATTTTTATGTTTTTAAAGATTTTAATAAATTTAGAAATTATTAATAAAGTTGACAATTTTTACATTTTTTTAAAGATTTTAATAATTATTTTAAATTTTTGTTTTTCTATTTTTAGATTTCACTTCTACAACATATTTTACCTTTACACTTTTAATAATATCGGAAAATTCTCTCGGAATATCTATCAATTTCCTCTTAAGCCATACAATAAAATTATTATCGATATCTCGAATTGTAACAGAGAATAAAAAAAAATTAGCGAATAAAATCCTCCCCTTTCGGTCGTTTATTTCTGATTATTCTTTAAAAAATATGAAGAATTATAGCTTTTTAAAAATAAATTTTTTTTATTGAAACAAAACTAGGAAATTTATTTTTGAAAAAAAAGAAGATATTATGAAATTGAAAACACTATGATTTTATAAAAACAACACTATATGAATGTGAACTTAGTGTATTAAATGCCTTCGATAAGTTAAATATCAATGATGTTGTTTAGTCAACGATTCATTTGTAGCATTTTTCATTATTCTAGTTAAGTGATAACAAGATTTTTACAATTCTCTAAGTATGTTAGGCAAGTTTGAATCCACTGGTCTAATTAACGACATTAATATAATATTACCCTAAAATCTCTTATTATTTCGCCAACCTGGGTAAGGTAATTTATAGAACCTAATAAATTTAAAACTGCAAACAAAGAAATAACGGAAAAAAATAAGATACAAAAAAATGTGTAAATGAAATTACTATTGTATCCAATGAACGTGATGTAGATGTAATAAGCGGACGCGACCAACCAAAACACGTTACCAAAAGCAGTTGACATATGTGAATAACGGTAATTTAAGATTACTAATTTAAAATAATTTTTTTAAAAAATATTATGACAAATTAAGAGTGAATATAATCTCATTTAATTTCTAAAATGATATATAATGCATCTCATCTATAAATTTATAATAATAAAACAAACCATAAATAACACTAAAAAGTTTACAAAATAATGAAACTATATTAATTTTATAAAAAGCAACATATCATTACTCTTAATGACAACCAGCGTTGTTGAACGTTACTCATTTTTTTAAGGAAGCGATAGATAATAGCTACTACCTTTTTATAAATGGTGATAGAGGTAGCTTGCTCCTTTTTTATTTTTTTTATAATAAATACTAAAATTAATATATAATTTTCTAATTTATTTTAAAATTATAATCTTTATATTTTTATTTAATTTTGAAATTTATATACAAAATCTGCTTTATATATCTAATTTATTTATCAAGTAATTTTAAATATAAACGCTAATAGAGATAGAAGAGGGAAGAAATTTTGAGACAGATGATGACAACAAAATTTCAATCTAGAAAATTATATTCTGAAACTACCTTTTTCATAAATTTCAATAATATTTTAAATTTAATAAAAAAAAACTAGTGCAGGATTTAAATTTGGAGGCAAGAAATCTGATAATAACACATAATAAATAAACATCAAAATCTTAAAGTTTTGGTGTAATAGAAGAGGCTAGCTATAGCTATATCCAACAAATTAAATTTAATTCATAATAAATTTATTAATCCTACTAACATCAGAATCAAGTGTTTTGTTTCGGCAATTTTTTTGGTAGATAATCCCTCATTTATCATACTGATTCTCCTGGTACCAAAATATCTTGCTAGCTGAAAGTGATGGCAAGAATTTTGATAATATTTAAGAAATTTAAAATATCTATCAAATGTCTCTTACATCTGCAGTAGATTGTATTGCCTCATAATAGAAGTTAAAAAAGTATTTATGTTTTGATCTTATATTAACTTAATTTAATTCAAAGAACAGCTAAATATGCTATTGGTAATATTGTTTAATATACCTTACAAAGATACATTAATAAAATTTCTTGACATTTAAATTAAAAATACAATTGAACATTTTTAATAATTTTTTATATATAAGTTTAGAAAATTAAATATAGCAATGCCCGCAATCCACTGTTGAGTGATTATTTAATAAAGCTAAGTTTATACTTTATGATTGTCCCTTCAGTCTTGAGGAAAATTAAAAACAAGCATATATTTTACAATTTGAAATGTCAATTTTAGGGACAGATTAAATATATATTTTTTAATATAAAGTAAGCTAAAAGTAAAAGTGGTTTTGTTACTATTTAAAAAGCATCTAATGGCATACCCCTTTTTGGAAAATAGAGGTAGTACCCTACTTTAAAAAGTAGCATTTAACAACACTGGTGACAACCAAACCTCTTTTTAAGATATTATATTAAATAATAAATGACTAACAAGAGATGAAAGGAAGAAGAATCCCATGAAGAATCAATAATAAAGGAAATAATGCATTAAGGTGGACATCAAAAGCATATGCCCATTCAACATCAACAAATTTATATCTTGAATCTATCATATATCGATTGGTAACAAACCTTTAAATAATATTTTAAAAATATTCTAAACTTTTCTGTAGCTTTAATTACCAAAACAAGGTAGCAATAACAATTCCCAATATTATACAATCAAATAAGGCACTCCAAAGCAAAAATTTTAAAAATCCAAGAATTCCCAGGTGAAGTGTAAATGCAAAAGCAATTGATGATACTAAATATATTAATTTTGATAAAAATTAAGCAATTTATTACTGCTGATCATTCCAATTAATAGAATTAAAAAGGCAGGATCATCTCTAGCAAATTGATCTTTGGTGTCTTGAAAATTATAAAATAATTGGTAAAAAACGTAAATAATTACTCTTTCGATATTGAAAATCACGAAAACTATATTAGAATATGAAGAAATATATAATAATATATAAATAAAATTACACTTTTTGAGGAGATATCATTAAGTATAAAATTTGCCATAGAGCAAATTGATAATCCATTTGTCTAAATTTAAATATCCGGCCAACATATTTTTTTACTTTTATGAGCCTATCATGCTTGAAACTAACGGGATGATGTCTATAGATGTCATCGTGTGGATTTTGAATAAAATCTACCATATGGTTTTGATTTTTAAAGGATAGATGTATGTTTTAATAGTGTTGTTAAATAGCCCAATATGAGCCTATTTTTAATTCGGCTAGCTCAATAATTTACCCGAAAAATATAGCCTATATCTCAAGATATTATTAATATTTATCTAAATCTAAAACTTGTAAGTTAGCCCTCTCTTAAAATTGGCTCAAAAAGCCGTTAACAACACTATTAAATAGTGACCTGGTTGAATAGGAATATAGATGTAATTAATGTTGCTGTACTTTAGAGGCCGACTAGAAAACCAAGGAGAATTCGCCACGAGGCCACAAGAAAATGTTGATTCAAGGTAAATCAGGAAAAATTCACCGATAGAAAAATATATTTATGATATAATTATAACCTTTCTATTATTGTTATCATATTTACATATTATATTTTAAAACTAGTAAATTTTATATTTTAGCATTTAGAATATAATATTAATATATTTCTTGAGGATTATCATTTAGCTATTGCTTATTTTATGGGTTTTCATTTTTTCAAAATAAAAATTTTGCGTTTTAATTATAGCTTTGAAGTAATAAATAAAAAAATTGAGAGATTCAAAATAATATCCATCTATATTTGAAAGGATAAAGTTTTATAAAAATGAGAATTAAAATTATGGAAATGAGATGAGATGAATTATATCAAATCAGAGATTAATTGGAATAGATCATATTCTGAAGTAAATGTTGAAAAGGTAAGCTGAATAGACAGTGGCGTAGCTGCGGGGGTGGTTTTCGGGTTTGGACTTCTCCCAGAGCAAATTTTTTTTTTTAGATTATACGTTCAAAAGACTTAAAAGTGACTTTGTATCAAATAAATACCATTAATATTTATATTTTTCTGGTTTTGATGTTTGTGAAAGGATATTATATTACTATTGAATTTATTCTGGGTAGTATTATTATAAAGTCATTGAGAATAATCTACTAAATTATAATAACATTATCTACTAATTTATAATAACATTATCTACTAAATTATAATAACATTATTTACTAAATTATAATAACATTATCTACTAAATTATAATAACATTATCTACTAAATTATAATAACATTATCTACTAAATTATAATAACATTATCTACTAAATTATAATAACATTATTCATGCATTTAAAAATATTTATATATATTGTCGAAGATGTGGTTATGATTTTTAAGATAAACCCTGCCGAAGGCCCGTTAAAGGGGGTCTGGGGGCGAAGCCCTTAGGATTTTATATGTATGGACCCCCTCTAAGGAAAATTCCTAGCTACGCCACTGTGAATAGAGGTAAGCTGAAACCTTTCGATGAATCAAAATCCAAGTGAAAAGGTCTTGAAGATTATCAAAGATAACCATTATAACTTTGAAGTTAAATTGAATTTAATTTTAAGAGATATTGTAACAAACGAATTGATTTGAAAATATATAGTGTAAAAGACAGCTGGTTTTGACGAATCAAAGATGAGAATGGAAGCTATAAAGTAATCTAAAATAGGTGAAACCATATGATGACCTGAGTACGTGAAAATTTTTTTATGTGGTTTTATGATCGCGACCGCTCTAAGTGCGCTTGGATCAATAAATCGTTTGAGGCTAAAATCTCATCAGCGCTAAATAGTTGATTGAGAATCTGTACAAATTTTAAAGGTTAAATCAGCTTTAATTATTTTAGAAATTTTTGTAATATTCATGCACTCCTCATTATATGCAAACTAAAAATTAAAATATTTTATCAGCTTGAAAAATGATCGGAGATGTCAAGTAATCACTTTCATAATCTTCCATTAAATATAGAGAGATTAAAATGGCAGCAAATTTTGAATTACTACCAGATAACCCTTGGACACAAAATGAAATGCTAAATATTAGAAGTCGAATAAAGAGAATGTTCAGCAGTTAACGTAAAGATGAATACCCGCAAATACCATTGACCTCTATACTGTTAAAGTTTGAAATAATGGATCAAATTATAAATAGTTTGATAAATGAATGTGCACTATTTGTTCGAATATGAAATAAATATCAAAGTTATCCTAAAAATTTCTTGAAGAAAGTTTTTGTTATGATTTGTATTTATCGAATATGTATAGTATTGTTTAAGAAGAAATGGTAGAGATTCCGGGAGAATTATTGGAAGTGTAAAGGTGATAATGTACTTTAGAAGTGATATCTAGAAATAGAAAAATATAAATTTAAAATAAATATTATTAAAATCTTTAAAAACGTAAAAATTGTCAACTTTATTAATAATTTCAACCACGATTTAAGTAATTTTATTCAATTCTTTAAAACACAAAATTTTATAACTTTTATAGTAATTTCCAAACGCAATAATTACCAAATTTTATAATGATGACTTTTTTATGAATGTTTTAATTTTAATATATTTTCTTTTTTTACAATAAGAATTAATATTCAAAAATTAAAAAAATTCGATGTTCATAACTTCATAACAATTTTATAATAATTTAAAATTTAATATTACATTAAACATTCAAATATATATATATATATTAAAAAAAATATTCAAATATATTCATAAAAAAAAAGCAAAAATATACAAATAACTCTAAATATTACCGTAAATAATCAAATATACAAATTTAGAAATCCAGTATAAATATTCAAATATAAAAATTCAAGTACAATAATTATTCAAATATACAAATTTAAAAAACCAAAAGTACAATAATACAACAGTTTCAATATTGTAAAATGTTGGCAAAAAATTATAATAAGAACTGTTTTCATTTCCTCGGAATTTACAAAGATTTAATATCTAGGTTAAATAAAAGTACTAACAATATAATTTGTTATAGTGAGTCTTATAAACGAAAATGTAATAACACAAAATGATAATAATTCCAACCAAGTGCAAACAATAACAAGTATTTATTAAATTAAATTATCTCAAAAAAAATTAACATAATGAGATAAAGAATTAATTATAATTTTTCTGTAAAGTCTAAAAGCAGTGTAATAACGTATAAACAGAGACTATTTTTCAAATATTTGATTGTCTAATTTAATATTATAGCAAAATATTCTCATTTTAAGCATTCGAGAAAATGCTTATAAATAAATTATCATTTTCGTCTGCTGTTTGGTCTATTAATTAAATTAAATTTGTAAATAAGAGTTCTAAGGGAGCAAATGAAGGTAAATGTATTGTAACGAATAAATATTTATTTAATTATTGGATATTTATGCTGCATATTAATTTGAATGATGGATTGTTAAGGTATAATATTATTTCATTTTCCTTTTGTAGACTACAAATGTGTATATATATTTAAAAAAAATTTTTTCGGTTCTATCATGTAAACTAATGTAATGTATTATAAAGTTAGCATGCTTTAAATGAAAGATTTGTTTTTCACAATCTATAGTTTATTAGATTCATTTTCGTTTTAGCTAAAATAACATTGTATTTGTTTTTGTAACTATAACATAATATATTATTTGTTACTTTTATAAACAATCTTTTTTCGCCTGATTGTATTGGCTAACGAAAAACAAGAAAATCAAAAAGAAATAGGGAATAAAATTTTTTCATTTTCAAATCTTTCGTTATAGGATTTAGTGATTTCGTTTTCATTTTCTTGTCAGTTTAATTCGGTAATCCTTTTCTATTCACGAATGTATATTGTCAATATGTCTGACTTTATATCTAAAATTAGCCTTATTCTCGGTGAATTATGTATAATGTAATGTAATGTAGGATTTAGATTCTATAGGACAATTTTTAATAATAATCCTATATTTGCAAATAATATGATTTTAGATAAAAGACCAGAGGCTTCGACTGAATCATGAATTGAAACCTCTGAATTAAGAGTTCTATTAGAAAAGTAAAATAATACTTCACCAATAGCCTCAAAATTCTCATAAATAATGCGAGATGTTTCCAAATGACCAGTCCACCTCTGGTCTAAAATCTCTTAAGGGCGTGGCCTGTATATTTACAGGATACGTTAAAACGCCTGAAAAAATTATACAATGCATATGATAAATTAAAAAAATTAGAAATAATAACAATATTATTATATCAATTTTGAACCACAAGATGCAACTTGTGGTTGTAGCAATGTAAAAAGGAACATTTTTATTAATTTTTTTTTGAAGAAGTGTTTGCACTCCTCCATTTCGGCCAGACATAACGTTTGCACCATCATATGCCTGGATTATTATATTAGCTGGATTAATATTTAGATCATTAAGTTGCTTTAAAATGCAATCTGTAATGCTTTCAGCAGAAAGACACTCTAAATTAATGATTCCTATTAAATTTTCTTGGATTTCTCCAGAAAAAATATAGCGAATTATTATGCTCAGGTTTTCACAACCTGAAGCATCTTTTGTCTCATCAGCCTTAAGACAAAAAAAGGCATCTCGCTTTTATTATATTTGTCTGAAATATGTTCAAGCACCATATCTGCCATAATGGATATTACTTTGTTTTGAATCTGTGATGATGTATACTGGGCATTTTGGGGTATAAATTTCATAATTTTATTTAATTCAGGGTCTTTTTGGATGATGTAGGAAAACATTGCTATAAATAGCCCAGAAGAATAAATTATATTTTCATCTTATGCAGCATCCGTAATATTTGTTGAACCAGTCCCACGGAAAGGTAGCTCTTGTATGCTAAGAAATAGCATCAAATCAAATATTGATTTAATAGAATATTGATTAATTTGATCACCTCCCAACATTTTAGTTATTTCTGTACCTTTGTTTATATTTTGATTTTTATCTGCCATATTGTAATTGAATTTAAATGAGCTTTTGAGCTCTCGTGTTTTAGCAGTCCCTTCTTGGCAGCTAACGCATTTTTCCAATTTCTGATTCCCGTTTGTCCAAATTCATCCCTTGGATTACACAAGTATTTCCTACATGGAAAACAAAAGGCAGCGTCAGCTTTTACACTATACTCCAACCAGTCTCGGCCTCTATACCATGATTTTTGAAATGATCT